CTGAACTGAGCTGGATGATGACATCACTGAATCAACAATGAACTGACTTTTACTGATAAATTGACTGTTTTCTATTGTCCTCTTTTATTATCAGCATACGTATTTCCAGTTTAACACTGTAAAGCTGCTTTGACACAATCTGTTTTGCATAAAGTGCTATAAAGGTCACTTGACTTGACTTTAAAGGAAGCAAATATGAGACCCCCAGAGTCTTTAGTTTGGGTGAAAAATTGTGTTATGTTATGTTGTTGAGATCTCTAAAAAACTTTAAACTTTAGAGACAAATGTGAGAGAAAGGAGAAAAATCTGATCACAATGTGTGAAGATGATGAGATCTCTTCATTATGTTATGTTAATTATGTCTCAATTATAATTAACTCAAGACACAGTACTGAAACTTGCCAAGCGGTGACTCTGGTGATGTGCGCGTCTTTCCCGGTACCACCTATTCTATTGCAGCCTATATTAATACCTGCTAAACACTACATAATATGCTGCTGCTAAGTGCAACCCTAGCTAACCTGTTTCCCAGTAACCATATTAGTAATTGGACTATTACCAGTAATTAATCTAGCAAATAATTAAATGAAAATAAGCTGGAATTAACAACGAAATCATTTGATTGATCCTTTAGTCAGTCAATCTTATCTCCATCATTTACCGCTGTCATATTTCCTCTTTTCCTCCTCTTCTTGCTTTTTTCTGTTTCTGGCTGCCAGACGGATAAGTCCTCTTCATGTTTAAATTAGCAAATGCACAAGTAAGCGCTGTGCAAGTTTGAAAATGGCGGCCGACGCATCACAAGGAAAAAGCAAGCACATCCAGCGTAACGCAAGAGGGGGCTCCCTAGGGGGGATACAGATGTAATAAAGTAAAGTGATGTGACCAAGTATGGTGACCCATACTCAGAATTAGTGCTCTGCATTTATCCCATCCAAAGTGCACACACACAGCAGTGAACACACACCCGGAGCAGTGGGCAGCCATTTTTTTGATGCAGTTGGGGGTTCGGTGCCTTGCTCAAGGACACCTCAGTCGTGGTATTGAAGGTACAATCTCTGCCGGTACGAGACTCGAACCCACAACCTTGGGTTACGAGTCCGACTCTCTAACCATTAGGCCACGACTTCCCCATGCTCCATGTTATATTAATAATGACATTTCCGATTGTTCAAATGGTCAGCTGTCGGGGGCCCCCTCAAAATGCGGGGCCCCAGGCAATTGTCTGCCTTGTCTGCCCTATTGCTACGCCTCTGATTACTGTTGTATATTTTGTTCTGGTTAATTAAAAAGAAGAAGAAGAAGAACCAGCACGCACTGCTTCGGTCTGCGCAGCATGAAGTCGAACACACCTACTGGTACCAGAACATGATCGCTGTATCACCTGACCACTGCAGATTCATTTTGCAGTTGATAGTGTCGCCATGGAAACGCATAATCCTCTCGTAATTAGACTACCTTAATTATTATGACATGGCGTGAACGCAGCATTCAGCTCATCCAACCCCAATCAAACACACCTGAACAAGCTAATCAAGGCATTCCAGATTACTAGAAAACTACAGGCAGGTGAGTTTGATCAGTGTTGGAATACAGAGGTTGATATTGCAGCAACACGTATTCATTTTAGTTTTGTGCGCTTCACTGTCCACTCCTCTTGACGCACCAATTCAGCGCATTTTCCAGCAGAGATCGTTGTGAGATCGCAGGTCGGGAGAATAACAGTTCGAGTGCATTTCTCGTTGATTGCTGTTTTATCGTGTCTGTTCGGATACTTGAGCATAACTCACGCTATTCAAAGACGAACCACAGGTGAGAAGATATGTTGACTTCATTGCACAGCCTGAAGAAATGCAGAAATAAGTGACTCTCAGTCTTTGAAAGTAATTAACACGCTTTAGGAATGAGTAGTATGTTTTAAAACTTGATTTGAAGCAGACAAATATGTAAAATTTGTATTTAGGTTTGATACACATTGCGAAACCCGATTTACAAATGCTGAAACTGTACTCCCTGGCCTTCCCTAATGATCCTCTTGATTACTCTAGTGGACGGTTTCTGACCGGCGAGGCTGGCGGTCGTGCCGTCCCGTCGAGGATGTTCTTCTGATAAAGCCTGCCCTGGAGGAGACAAATGCTATCGATTTGATTTGGGGCCTGTTTGCGTGCCGCCTGTTTTCAGTGAGTTTCCTTTTAATAATGGATGCTAAGGGTCCAAAAAAAATTTAAATAAAAAAATGCACACTAGTAATGCATTGGATTCAACATAAGTTTTAAGCAGAGACTTTTCCTTTTGTTGTTCTCTTAAGTTGGTTTGAATTCATCCCTTAGGGTAGTTTTAAGCACAGGATGGCTTTACAAAAAAAAAAAAAGAAGAGGAATAATACTTAGAATATAGTTCACTCTGTAGGTAAAACTTGCTGTTCATGCTTTGAGTGTTAAGTGCTGTAAATTTGAAGTTGCATACGGTCTATATGCACAAACTAAAGCTGACTATCTGTGTCCACGCAGTGAAGCCGGGTCAATGTCCCATACCGGAGATGATTCCACTGTGTGCTAAAAGCTGTTTCCATGATGGCCAGTGTTAAAATAATTGCTTGATTGAAGAGTTGGTGGGTTTTTTTTTTTTTGGTATCATTTGACTTCTCGCATAACTGCTTTCTAGCATCAGTGCTTTAAGTTCCTTTCCCTGAGACCTGGACGTTTAGCAAAGGATTAGCCAGGATTAGCCAAATGCTAGGAATAACCTTAATCTTTTTTTTATTATTATTATTATTATTATTATTATTATAAGCCTATAAATGCAGAGGTCCGGCTCTCATGCTGGGAATGGCAGCGTGTTCAACTTCATGCGGAGCCGCGCAGACTGATCAACGAAAGTTGCAGCTTGCTGTCGGGGTGGAATTGACTTATCGGTAAGCCCCTCCCCTCGAACGCAGATGAGACAATGGCCGTTGACTACCAGCTGCACAGGGACCGGAAATCGGACATCTTTATGGCAGCGTCCGAAAGCTCTAAAATGCTGCCTTTGGAGGCAACATTCCAAGGCAGAAAGGCATCAAGACCCGTCCGAATCCAAATTCTGCTTTACTTCCTGTCTCTGGATGTGCCTTCTGATCAAATTTTGAAGGCAGCATCGATGTGTCCTTCGCTGCCTTTGATATACCACAATCCTGTGTGCTCCATTCCGTGACTGTTGAGCTAAAAAAAGATGGTGTCTGAAAGTTGCGTTTGGTGGGCAGTTTGTGTGTAAATGTATTTTTCTGACTAACTCGCGCACTTTTGATGTTATTTTGTAGCGAGGAATCCGTATTATAGTGATTAAATATTCTTTTAGTAATCACAAACTCGTTTTGTTGTAGATCATTAAACCGTTAGGCTGCCTCTGAAATAAGTTTCATGAGGTACCTTCGTGCAAAAACGCTGCCTGCAAAGTCATTGCCTCATACAGCAGCGCGGCAGCAAGTCAGCTGCCTAAGTTTTCGGCTGCAGCCTAGGTTTCAGCGCCATAGATAAACACTGGAAGATCCGAAGCTTTCATCGGTTTGATATTTGCTACAAAAATGAAAAATGATGTGACTGGGGTACTTGTAACACTGATTCCATGTATCCTGCGAGGATGGGCAATGGAATTTAATTTATTCAATTTCCTAAACCTAAACAAAACTGAGCAAAATATCCCTAAGCATTCAACCCCAATCCCAATGAAGACTAAAACGTTCATTTTCTGGTTGTCATATACTCATTAAGTTACAATTTTCATCTCAAGCAGAATGTTAATGTCATCTTGTGCTGCAAGGTATCTCTGGCTAAAACTAGCTAACGTTAAAGTTAGTGAGTCCATGCTAATGTACCAACCTAAATGGCTAACTGTTCTCACCTCATGTACAGTGTACATAAACAAGGTCTACATTTCAGTGCCTCTCCATATTCAACTGGTAAAATGTAAATTAAATTGTAAATTTCTCATTGGAAAGCACTTTGAAATGGAGACCGATCACAAGACATTACGGAGTCTCTTAGGAGCTCAAGCTCTGGATGCTCTTCCCCCTCGTATACAGAGGTTTAAAATGCGACTGATGCGGTACTCCTACTCCATCGTTCACGTACCAGGAAAGAGCTTGTGGGTAGTGGACACTCTGTCACGCGCTCCTGTAAAACAGAGTGAGTCACAAGAAGACAGAGAACTCTGGGAGGATACGAACATATATGTAGACTCACTATTGGAAAATTTACCAGCAAGTACAACGTATCTGGGACAGTTGAGAGAGGAATTAAGGAATGACAATGTCTGTTCCGGTGTGATGCAACTGTGCGTTGAAGGGTGGACAGAGCGCAGCAAGAGTGACCCAATAATGAAATGATATTGGGCAGAATGTGCTGTCTTAACTGTGCAAGATGGACTGTTGCTTAGAGGCACGAGGCTGGTTATTCCAGCCGCCATGAGAAGCAGTGTTCTAAACAAATTGCACGAGGGACACTTGGGACTTGTGAAATGCAGAGAGCGGGCAAGTCAGTCAGTGTGGTGGCCAGGGTTAAGTCATCAGCTGAAGGAAATAGTCCTCAATTGCAGGACATACATTAAAGAGAGACAGAACCCAAAAGAACTCAGTTCCCTGACAGGCCATGGCAAAGGCTAGGGGCAGATTTGTTCATGTTGGGAAACAAGACGTACCTGCTTGTGGTAGACTACTACTCCAGATATGTGGAGATAGCTCAGTTAACACCTACCAGGTCTACCGACGTCATTGTTCACATTAAGTACATATTCGCGCGTCATGGAGTTCCAGAGACACTGGTTACTGACAATGGGCCACAATTCTCTGGGCACTCATTTGCATCCTTTGCAGCTTCATATGGATTTGTTCATGTAACTAGTAGCCCAAGATTTCCCCAAAGCACCGGTGAGGCCGAACGGGCAGTCAAGATGGTGAAGGCTCTTCTCAAGAAAGCCAATGATCCATACCTTGCTCTTTTAGCTTATAGAGCGATCCCCTTGCAAAATGGATACAGTCCGGCTCAACTTCTTATGGGTAGGAGGCTCTGAACGACTGTGCCTACACTGCCATCGTTGCTAAATCCAGTACTCCCTGATACCGTGGCTGTTTCTTCAAAAGAGAAGGAAAGGAGGGCTACAGATGCAGAGCGTTTCAATAGGAGTCACAGAGCCAGAAAACTCAGCATACTGCAGCCAGGAGATCATGTCTGGATATCTGACGCTAAAGAATCAGGAACAATTGTTGCCAGTCACTCTGCCCCGAGGTCTTACCTTGTGAACACTCAGCAAGGGACTGTGAGATGGAACCGTCACCATCTGGTACAAATGCAAGCAGAAGCCAAGGAGGACAACATCGGAACACCTGATCAGCTTTCTGTTGCAACCTCTGAGTCGCTCCCTATCACTCAGGAGTCAGAGAAGCAGGTTTGACATCCACTCCTAGAACCAAGTATGGGAGGCGAATAGTGAAACAAGTAAGACTGAACCTGTGAACTGTGTGTGGTGTGGGTACAGGTTCCCTACCACTTAATGTAAATAATTGTGGACAAATGTTCAAGTGGCAAGCACCAAGGTTGAAACTACCTGTTTGTTCAAGGAGTTAGATAGGAGCAGATCTTCCAGCAAAAGAGGCAGAATAATCCTCTAAGATCTGTTGAGACAAAGGTAGTCTACCCTTTGTTCTCTAGAAAGGGGAGATGTGAGATGGAGCGAGAGTGACACGCATGTGCCAGCGAGTGGTATACATGTAAGGTTGTTTCGAGAGTTTTCAGTAAAGCACGTAAATACAGTTCGAATCCAGAGTCTTTATTTACAAGACACGACAGTTTTCACACTGAAAGCTGTCATAATAAGACAGTTAGCAACTCTGTTTTTTTGTCCGAGTTAGCAACAGCAAATAAGGGGGGCGGTGCTTACCGATCGGTCAATTGAAAGCATAGACGTGAAGTCGGACACTTTCTGCTTCCCGTAGAGATGTTTGCACAGTACTTGCATACTTTATCACAGATTAAGTGAATAAAATGCAATATTTGTCAAATACAGACGTTTCAGAGACGTTTTCATGAACCAACAGAAACACTTCATGTACCGCAGCACCTGTACAAGAATGAATTTGGCGCGGTGACGCACGTAGTTAAAAAAAATAAAACAATAAATACAAATGGCGCTGCTGTTCCACTGCAGCTGCGGAGTGCAAAAATATATGCTATTTACACTAAGCAATTAGATAAGTGAAAATAGCATATTTTCTTAGCGATAGATGCTATTTACACTAAGTGAATATAGCAGTATTTTTTAGCGATAAGCTAATTTCACGAAGTACAAATAGCGATAGATTCTATTTTCACTGTAAAAATATGAGTATTTTCTTTGCAATAACTGTAGTTAAATGCTGTTTATACTACTTGGTGCAAATAGTGCCAGATATCTGCACAGTTAACTATATTAAATTATATAAATATAAAAAGCATACAGAATAATTTTTGTCGTCCATAATTTAGAATGCCTGGAATTTTGAGTTTTAATAGACAAATAAATCAAGGTGCGTGCACTCTGTGTGTGATTTGGTGATATAGCCTACTTGATAATGTCAGATCGCACATCATTACAACACTTACCATATTATCGCAGAAGATACTGTATTATCGCACACCCCGGACTCGACTTGAGTGGAAAATGAATCATCCGCGGTGAAGATGTAAAAACGACTTAAAGCGGGTGGATGGATGAAAGCCGAGATGCAGTGAGATGGACAGAGAGTGAGGGTGTATGAGTGCATGATGCCGATGCCCAGGAGTGCAGATACACAGGTTATATTTACAAACACACAGATTGCTCCATGTTCGACGCTCTCTTGATCTTTCTCTACCCCTGTTGTATCTAAACAGCAGCGTAGCGCTGCCATCCTATTAATGCAGCCTGGCTCTCCATCCGAGCCTTGTGAGCCAGCTGCTGTGCATAACGGTAATTCTGCCGTTCCCTGCCGGAGGGGTGAGATCCCGGGGCAGATGGTTAATATATTTTTAAAAGCGCACAGCATGTCTACATCAAGCGTGCGGCACGTATCATCTCGACGGTGGGCTGATAGATGCAGAGGCAGGGCTGGAAATGGCCTGCAGGTGAGCGGAGAGCGGAGAGCAGACACTTACTGCATTCCAAATGTGGGAAGATGAGCATTAATGAGCTGTGGGAAGAGAGAGAGATTGATCTCTAGTATCAGAATCCCATTAGAGCTGCAAAGCCTTGAGTTCGCTCTCAATTATTGGTCATTGGCTCGGTGACAGGTTTATGGCTTGATGGACTGTGCACAGATTTATGATGAGGATTAAACTCGGATTCATAGCCAGTTGTTGCTAATGACAACTCTGCAAAGCATCATATTCACCCTGATTATTTTCTGCAAGTTTTAGAAGCACTTTACAGAGCCGTAAAAGTTATTATTTAGAACTGAAATTGGCCTTTATTTGCTGTCAACAACGGATTATGTTAAAGGTTTGAATGATATAGATAATCACATCTTTAGGAGGTAAAGTTTTGTAATCATTCATTATAAGTGGTGACAGTAGTTGACCTAAAGTAGAAAACAATGGTA